AAAAAAAAAAATTTTTTTTTCTACGGCAACTTGAAATTTGATTATTGTTCTTTAATTACGACTGAAAACGAGAAAAATCAGCGTATTTAAGTCCTGAAAATCATAACGATTTCTTAAGTATCCCATTTTGCCCCCCCCCCTCCCCTAATTTATAATAATTTATTTTATTTTATAATGACGAGAATCCTGCACATAAATCCTGCCTAATTTTGGAGCGGATAATAGGTAAGTTCACGACTATTTTTAATATTAAAAAAAACTAATTTTAAATATATTACCCGAGTCGAAAAGTTTCAGCATTACTCTGAACTGAATAAGCTGCTAGTCAACGTTTGAAAAAAATAAAAAGCGGCTATTTATAATGATTTCGATTTAAGAAATAAATAAGAATTAAAAAAATACTATTAAAAAATTCTAATTGTAGATTTTGAAAATTTCTACTTGAGAAATTTTTCATTAAAATTTTTTTTTACATTGATTTAGTGGCAAAGAAAAATTATAAAAAAATGTCAAATGTTTATTGATTTCAATATCATGAACGGTTATCTATCCTGAAATTTTTGCAATAAATTCTTTGAATTGAATCAAATTCTACATTGAAAGATTTTAGTCCCTTAAAATGCAAGTTGTTGGCATACTTTCTTAACAAACTCTTTCAAGACTAGTTTTTCAATTATTATCACCGAAATAATACTAAAATATTTCCAATATTCGAAAAAAAACTTTTCCGTCAAAAACATATAACTCGAATCTGTAACAAAATATTTTTAAAAACAAGGCAATTTTATTAATTCTCATATATTAATGAATGCTAACCAAAAATTTTCTAAAAAAATTAATAAAGAACTAATTTATTTTTTATAAATCATAAAAAATTCAATAATTTCTATAAAAAAAAGTTTATCATATAAAATTACATGAATGATAAAAAATAAAAAGTATAAAAACGTGAAACTATGCAGTTGACAGACCATTTCGCTTGTTACCGTGATCATTACCATGACTATTTTGAATGTTACCAACTTTAACATTAGTTCTCGGTATTTCACATTTGTCTGAGTCAGCGCAGGGATCTTCTGATAGCGATTCTGGATACGGGATGATGGGTAGCGGATACTGGATGAATTGAGGATTCTGGGAGATATCACCAGCAATTCCGGCTGGATACGAAGACGTCATGGGAACCGGTTTAGATTCAAGCTTACTGACATATTGCGTTTGCGATTCTAGTCGATATTGAGGGTCTCTTTTTAACCTCAGACACTTGCCTTGTATCAGGTAGCAGTAAGACATCCCCAAGATTGGACTTCCCTGGTAGATCTTCGATAGATCCCGATCCATCGACAGATGTGAAGTCAGTCCGATAAATGTGAACTTCAGTGGAATCTCACTCTCCAGGCCATGCTACAATGTAAAAATAAAAAAAAAGTGATATTTTAAAAATTTCATTAGTTTTCATAGTGTTGGATATTTTTATAATTATTGCACGACTCATAATGCGATGCATCAGAGAGTGTTTTACGATCGAAAAATTTTTTTCGCCTCATTCTGCCAACGATTTTTATTATTATACCCTCATTAATTCACGGAATCGAGATATTTTGCATGTTTTTGGGAAGATAATTTAATGAAGACTAATACCATACTCAAAAATTTATTCAGTGCAATAGAAACGGAAAAAAATATCGGAATAGTTCCAAAAATTTTCCTGTCTGTCAAGTATGAAACCCGTAAACACTGTAACTTGCGTAAAAATCTATTAATTAAGTCAAATTTTTTTTTCTTTAATTCCTTGAAGAAATTATAGGTCCCCTACCGCAAATGGCCGTATAATTCAATGTCGTTTAATTGCAATTAAAAATCAGCATTATGAGTCAAGCTCTTTTAGATTTTTTAAACTATCTTTGTTATTATATTCTGCTGCCGCATTACCAGCAATCGATAAAAAAATAATGTCGCGTCTGATATGTGGTCGTAGTGGATCAAGTATAACCGTAAAAAAGGTTATTCCGGTTAGCAGCCATTACAGAACCATAAAAATGAATTTTTCGAGAAATATCTTTACAGTTTTGTCGTGGATATGATAAAAAATGGATGCTTAACTGTATTAAGGGACTATAAAATATACAGCGAAGCCCTTTTCAACGTTTAAACGACTATTTACTGTCAATATTCACACTTTTATATTCTGTCGTAATTTTGGACTCTGCATACAATATATCCTAAGAGATGAGTGGTCAATAAAATAATGCGGAGAATGATATGATATGAGGCAGTAAATCAATATTTATCATTCGGTGATAAATTATTTTTTTATGGCGACGTATCTTTCATAGGACAGGCAGAGCAAGTACAAGAATCGAGGAACTGGGTCCCAAAAATCATAAAAATTTCGTTCGAAGCTATTCTAAGAAGTTTTTAATGAACTATGGAATATAACACGCGATTTTATCAATTTTTTATGAATATACTACAAAAAAAAAAATAACTTGATTCCAGAGAAAAATTCTTGAGCCAAGAAACCACTTTTAAGAGTTTTATTCTCTTGAATCAAAACGAAAAATTCCTGAATCAAGTAAAATTTACTAGAATCAACAAGAATTTCTTAGTTTAAGAATTTCTTTATTCAAATCAAATCGATGAAATTTTGATTTACGTGTCAGTTTCAAAAATTTAATTATTTTGAATTCAGCAAAAAAATTCTTAAATTAAGAAATTCATCTTAGTTCGAGTAAATTTTACCTGATTCAATCATTTTTCTTCTCGATTTACAGCAAAAAAATTTTTTTAATTGATTTTCTTGGTTTAAAAATTTTTCTCTTGATTCAAATTAACATTTTGTTATACTCGCTCCAGAAGTTCAACTTCTGAGCGCTGGGTGGCGTCCGTAAAGAGACTCTTTTACGAACTTTTCATGTACACCCAGACGAAATTGAGAGAGATTGTAAAAAAAAAGTCACATTCTAGCGTACCGACCGATAATTTTTAGTCTTAGTTACTATTTAGTGGCACTAATTATTTCTTTACTGGCAGTTTATTACGCAGCGGACCTAATGTTAATAAAATAACAACAACGCCATAAATAAATACTAGTAAAAAGTTATTTACATTTTCTGGACGTGAGCAAGATTTTAAGATTAATAAAAAGATAATTAATATAAAATTAATTTTTTTTGGCCTTGTGAAACTTCCTAAAATTTAAATATGTCATTATTTGCCTCTTATCCCTCAAAAATTAAACTTATGGAGCGATAATAACAAAAAATATTGTATGACATTCGGCCGTTTAGTGGCGATTTTGACAACGACTTTTTTTCGATATTCGCTTTAATGTTTGTGACGCGAATGTTCGAAAACGAGCGTAAATTTCCGTCCTCGGCTACGCCTCGGACGTTAAAATTACGCCCGTTTCGATCCTTCCCGCCACAAACCTTAAGCTCATATCGAAATATCGTCGCTGTCAGAAAACCGCCACTTCACGGCCTTATGACATAAATATCTATTTTATCAGCCTGTTTATCAACAACTTGAGGAATATTTGTTTGTTTTGTGAATTCATTTTTTGATATCATAATTTTTGATTTACGAAATTTTTGTTTTTTTCATCAATTTTTTTAATATCCTTATTCCAAAAGTTAAAAAAATTTTTTTATATCTTTCCATGAGTATTCACTTCAGATGTTGAACCTCAATTGTCAAACGAATAAGTTGGAGAGTAACGAACTTGTTATAAATTCTTAACGACAATCAGAGGATCCAAAGTATCATTATAAATTTTTTAACAGAAAGTTTCCCTTAATTTCCTACGACACTGTCGCTTATTTATTGTATCTAAGTGTTATAGAAGCAAAATCAACAACATAATGATTTGAAATGTATTTGTCGCTAATTCCTCAATAGTGCAAGGTTTGCATCCAGAGTGTAGAATCTATAAACTTGAAGTAAGTATATGAGATGTGAGATGTGACCTTTGCAAAACTGACGACTCTTACATCTTATACATTATACAAACTTAAACAGTTGTGCAGTAAGTTTAAGACGTTGAATTAAATGTACCGGTTGCACTGTTAACGAAATTTACGAGTTGGCGAATCTAAACAACTTTAATTCACGACACGACAACTTGGGTAATTAAGCCGGTTGAAAATGAGTTGAACTTTAATAGTAATTTAAGCAGTAGTATAGAGTAGCTAAGGGTAGTTTTACCAAAACTTCTCAGCTTAAGATTATTGTCAAGACCAGAAATTAAAAGAAAACAAAATTTAATTAATACTTTCACTACTATTATGTTATTCACTAAGGGATTCATTTCAATGCTATTTAAATTTGAATAAAATTTTGAAATAATCATTATTCCAAGTGCAAAAGTATTAATTAACTGAGCGTCGTAATTACCACGATAACAGTGTCATTCAAATGGAAATAAAAAATTTTATAAGTAGTTTGAATTTAATTTTAATGGGAGTTGAAAAATCGATTTGATGCTTTGAGTTGGCTAATTGTACGGTTAACTTTTAATGACTGGCTTAGAGGATGTAAACCTTTATTTAATGTTTGTTCAGCTGAAAATCGCGGTTAATTTTGAGTTATTCACATTAGCTTGAAGTTAGAAAATTAAAAACTTGCGAGCTAATTATTATGTGTGTTATACTTTCTTGTAGCAAAAAAAAATATTACTTAACTTATTAATAATATTCAGGCACTTATGATCATAATTCATATAAAATCATATATACTTTTTATATGAACAAAAGATATCCTCATTTACGAATAAATTTATTTCAAATTATTTTTTTTTATTTTTTTCATGATTTGAAAAAAGTTTAAACATGTTTATCCGAAATAAATTTTGAAATAAAAGATACTAAGCTTGTTTGAGGCATGCAAAATGCCATTAAATATCAGTGTAGTTAATTAATTCAGTACGATACTTCCCCGTGGTGATGAAATATAATTCATGTAAAATGTATGTAAGCGGAGTGTTAATTTGTGTAAATATATACCTTGTCTAAAGCAGATGTCATTATGAGAAAAGCCACAGGACTTTGTTGGCAACGTTCGCGTCTTGTTATTGGTACATTTGAACTTTGTTTAATGTCATCACCTTCCGCTGAAGATAAATGGGCGGCAAAATCTTCTCGGCGCATACGCGATACTTCAAATGGATCGCCGATTAAGTCACCAGAGACTTCTAGTTTTTCAGCGTTATTTTCACTTCGGGCTACTGCATTGTCTATTGCTATCTGAATTTCATAAAATTTTATATTAATATTCAAATATTCGGAATTCTAATTATCGTCATGACACTAAAGTCGACTAAATTGCATTTTAAATTAATATCCAAGCTATTTCATTAATTTATACACCAATCGCTAGATTAAATTGAGCTCAAAAAAATTGTAGGGTAAGGGAATTGTTGGATTAGAGGTCGTAAATTCGATATTTACTATTTTTTTTTAATGAAAATATTGAATAAAAAGTTTGGAAAATCCAAAAGTGCACGCCTCATAACGCTCATTCATTTTTTAAGAAAAAAATTAATTGTGTAATTGATTTAAAAAAAAAATTATAATTAAATAATTTCTTACAGAGTATTTTTTTTTTTAAATATCGGCGCCTTTTTTTCTTGTCATATGCGCACGCAGTCTAAAAAAATCTAGCTTCATCAAGTGGCGCCATAGTTTTCACGTGACAAATAAGAAAAGTTCGTTTGGCTTTGTACGGTTATATCGTAGTGAATTTTAATAAAAATTTAATTAAAAAAAAAATACGTAAACTAGGCAACTGATATGAAATACGGACCCAGTTCATCGAATTCTTAAACTAATATAAAAGGTCCGGTCTTGAAGTATCAATTTGTTCGGGAGTAATCGTTGGTACATCCAAGATGGGGTGACATCCGGACGTCCACGTAAAATTTTTTTCAAAACGTTTTTTTTTTTCAAAATAGCAACATGAAATGATTATAGAAAGTAAAAGATGGTTTAATTTAAGTGTTTTTTCGGTGTACTTCTACTTATATTATTGTATAAGTGTAATATGGTTGTGATAGAGACATTTAAAGATCATAAAATTGCTTGACCTTGACGAGTCGAGTATAAAGCACAACCTCACGCGCTTCGCGCTATGAGGCGTGCAATATTACTTTAACTTTGTAGATATATAGATTCGTATCAGTATGAATGAAAAAATTAAAACATTTGAAAAGCGGTTGATCCAAAAGCTACTTTGAAATTTTTCACTTTTTTGAGTTTAAAGCGCTCGAAAATCTTTCAATTCGTTTATTTTGGAGCTCTCCGAGCTGAAGTTAAAATTTATTAACTTTCAAAGTACCAAGTAGTTTTTTTTGTCTCACGTCTACAGAAAGAAATTCAATTCAAAATAAATGAGTTGAAAGTTCTAAATAAGTACAACTTATCCTTGTATGTGTAATAGCGCTAATCTGCTATGCTGTAGAATTAAAAATATCGTCAATATCATTGTGAAAATTTAACAGTATATTTTAAAAAACTGTGTTTTCAAGATATAGAAAAAACCGATTTTTTTTTTTTTATTTTAGATCACCGGGTCTCTTATGTTTGTAGATTTCTTTAAACACCATTAGTGCTGTTGGCACTGTTCTATTACTTAGAGATGCAAATACGACAGATTATGGTTTTCACAAATTATATTAAGACTATGTAAATCTACTTGATTTAAGAAAAATAACTTCTCAAAAATTTTGATTTTTGCTTCGAGATATTAAGTTTAAAATAATTCAAGAAGTTTATTCGCAAGCGAAGAAAATGAAGCAAAAAAGATAAGAGTAAGAAGTTCACCATTCATAATTTCTACAAATTCTAACAACTACTGGAATGTTTTCAAACAGAAGAACCTATATATCATTAAAGAATTCATATCTGAAGGATTAAAATTGTAACAAAAATTACGCTCCAGCTGACGGTGGAGTGGTCAGTGGACACGTAATTTTGTCCAGGTCGCTCAAATATTTGACAAAGAAACCTAAATAAACGAAAAAGACTTGGGAGGTAACTCCTCGCCTCCCAAGCAACCAGCAGCTCTCCCTCAGGCTGGGTTAGTGCACGATTTGGACGCCAGTTGTTCTTTTAACTAGGGAAACAACAAACCCTTTGATTTTCAGGGCCGATCTGCAGGTATTCCAGGGAAAGATAAATAATGTACTAATATTAGGAAAGAAAGGAGGAAGTAATTTACGTAAATGAAATTATTAATAAATCAGCAAATATTAATAAAAAAAAAACAAATAAACTATTTATTAAAAAAAAAAAACGAAGTTACTTAAAACTAAGTCCAGAGCCGAATTCCTCAGCCGGATGAACTATATAACAATAATAATAATCTTGTCACGTACAATCATTAATTATTAATCATTAATTATTAATCTTGCTCCAAAATCCAACTTTCGCAGTTGATATGACAAAAATTTCATTTTTCGAGCACTGGTTGACGTCCGCAAAAGCACTTATTTCTTCGTTTTTGTACTTTTCTGGATAGAACTGGATGGAATTGAAAGGGGCTTTAAGGGGGGGGGGGGTAAAGTTAATTCGTACAAAAAAAAGGCATGTTTTTTATGATTTTTTTGCGACGATGCAGTTAAAATCTCTTTATTAAAACTAATGGTACAGTAAAATATGACATTCGAAGAATATTATATAAAATTTTCACGAAGAAATATTAAAAAATACGGCAATGGCAGCAATTATTTGGACTCGTCTCAGAAAAAAAAAGTAGAATTGCGGTGCCCCTCATAACTAGGCGCTGGTTCATCTGAAATCAAAAAATGATAGTTCATTCGTTAGATAATAGTTTTCCCCAGGTAACGCTGTCGAGGATTTTTCGAAATTTCAATTTTTCACTTTTTTGGTACACTTTGAAGGCTCAATTTAGCCGATTTTTTTTTCGTGAAAATGGCGTTTTTCCATTCAAAGTGTTCCAAAAAAGTGAAAAATTCAAATTTCGAAAAAACCCCGACAGTGTTACCTGGGAAAAACTATTATCAAACAAATGAACTATCATTTTTTGATTTCAGATGATCCAGCACCAAGTTATGAGGGGCACCGCAATTCTACTTTTTTTCCGAGACACGTCTGAATAATTGTTGCTATTGCCGTATTTTTTAATATTTCTTCGTGAAAATTTTATATTTTATATAATATTCTTCAAATGTCATATTTTACTATACCATTAGATTTAATAGAGAGATTTCAACTGCTTCGTCGCAAAAAAATCACGAAAATATGCATTTTTTTGTACAAATTAACTTTACCCCCCCCCCCTTAAAAGAAAGTCACATTCTAGCTTACTGACCGAAGATTTTTAGCATAGTTTATCACAATTCAGTTACTATTGAGTGGTGCTAATTTTCTGTCTATTTGCAGTTTGTTACGAAGGAGACCGACTGTTACTATAATATTAATACTAATTCGCTTATAATAAACATATAGCAACTCGATTATTATCATACCTTTATAATAGAATGATTGGGAAAATTTTATTAAAAAATTATGTATAATAATTACTTACAAAAGTTTGATTGAAACGTAAGCATCTAATTAGTAGGTTTGTATTCTTCTCAACTTGAACTTTCTGAACGATAATGATAAAAACTATTGTACATTATTTAGCCGCTCAGTGGCGATTTCGACAATGTCGATTTTACGATATTCGCTGTAACACGGATTGACGGAATCGAGTGTAACTTACCCTCTTTGACTTCACTTTGGAGTAAAATCAAAGTTATGCTCGTTTTCGTAAATTCGCGCCACAAACCGTAGGCTTATATCACAACATCCCCGTTGTCAGGAAAATCGCCCCTGTGCGGCCTTATGACGTAAATTACTATTACTATTTTCATGCACGTTTACTTATATTATCGTATGAGTGTTATATGATTGTAAGGGAATTCGTGAAGATCACAAAATTGCTTGACCTTGACGTATCGAAAGTAAAGCACTACCTTAACCGCTTTGCGTTATGGAGCATGTAAAAGTTTTCGTCATAATGGTCAAATTAATAAGACATATAATTTAATTATGAAGTTTTTAGCCTAATTTTCTTGATTATGCGCTTAAATTTCAGTACCACAATGTGACAGTATTCAATAAAGGTCATGTAACAGTAATGAATTTTCCGTAACATTAATTATGGTAGTTTAATGTTTATAAGTAAGTGCTGATCAAAACTTAAGAGTCTGAAGCTGAAGTTCAAGAGTATCAAGTCTTTGAAATTAAAGTAAACGATAAGTGACGAGCGATAACAATCAAGACTTTATTATTTTCGCTCATACTTTTATTAAAACGGTGGATCAAAAAATGTAGACACGCCAATAAAGAAAATTGAATTGCCCAAGTTTTAAAACTGCTGAAATAAAGTTGAGTGATGCGCTCATGTAACTCGTTTCGCTTCTGCAACAAATTAAAGTACAAAAAAAAATGGATAAAAATAATTTGATAAATCGCAAGACTTTGACGAATGAGATTTCATAAACTTATTAAGAAACTGGACACGGAAAATAAAGAAAAAAAAAAAGGAGATATATTTTATATTTTATATCACTTCTTAATGAATTCTCCACGTTGAATGAAACTCACGGGATGATTGTGATATAGAAACATTTTATTACTCTGTCTACAATTTTCTCGCTATAAACCTTTGTGTATATGTATAGATATATATGAAACAAAAAATTGTGAAGATTACAAAAGAATCTCTATAGAGTACACACGATTGCAACAGATGGAAACGATTGAATCCAATCTATTTCATTAAGTAAAATTAAAAGATATAAAAGATGATTATAATTCATTTAAAAAAAAAAAACTAAAATTCTATCATATAAATTGTCATTTACCAAATATTTTATAGATGATTCAAAAATGAAGTTTTTTTCAAATATAACCCTTAAAGTTATAGAAATGTTTGAGATAAATTTTTTGTTAGGTATGTTGAATGAAAACATCAGTGTATTTTGATAAAAATAATTATCAAAATAAATAAATATTCAATTGAATAGTATATTACACTATTCCCGGGTCGAAAAATTTAAACTGATTTTAAGCTAAATGATCTGCATTTGAACTTATTGATCTGTATTTTGAACTTTTAAAAATATTTTCATCTGTATTTGATCTACTATTCAAATTATTTTTGATCTGTTTTAAGTCTAAATAACTTTTTAGTAGAATAATTGAGCAGCTATGAATATTTTATGCTGTTTCTAATCTCATAAGACTAAAAAGTTTTAAACGTTTGATCGGTTTTTAGTCTAGTTAATTTGTAGATGGACTTTATGTATTGTTTTCAAATTCAATATGAAATCTTATACTGTTTTTGATCTACAATTTTCACTCTAAATGTTCGAAGGCCAAAAGTCGACTAAGATGGTGACTTATAATTTTTTGGACTTAAAAGTATCTCATTAAAAATTATAAGTCGCATCTGTCATATTTATTTGTCATAGCTCAACATTTCATGGATTATAAAAGTTTTGTAAAAAAAAAAATTAGAAAAATGGTTCACCCTAAAGGCCATCCGTGCAACTTCCCGCTAATTCCATTCCTGGGCGCTTCAACCGCGATGAAATTGGTTCAACCGTTCAAAAGTTATAAGCGATTCACATACTTACACACACACACACACACACACACACACACACACA